GCTTCTCAGGGAACAGCTAGGGAGCTTTCACACAAGCAGAGGATCATGGGGTGGTAGGAGGGCTGGTCAGGCAGTTTATTCTTTTGTTTGGAACACATTGTACATTAAACAGTGTATATAATCTATGCAATTTCAAGCATAGATACTCCTCAACTTACAGAGGGTTCACATCCTGATAAACCCTTATAAGCTGAAAATATTATAGGTTGAAAATGTAGAATGTTGGTTGTTTCTCATTGTGATCCTGTGGCAACTAGGAGCTGCAGCTGTGTGCTACCAGCATCTCAAGAGAGGATCTGACCACACATCACTGGACCAGGCAAGCATCCAAAATCAAACTTCAGAGCTGGCAGAGTGGCTCAAGTGGTACAGTGCCTGCCTAGCAATGCACGAGGCCCTAAGTTCAACCCTCAGTACCATCCAATAAAATAAATAACTAAATATAAAAAATCAAACTTCAAAGTATGGTTTCTACTGAATGTACTGCTTTCACACCATCATAAAGCTGAAAAAGCATAACTTGAACTATAGTACATACAGGCCTATTTATATAACAAACACCATGTACCAGGTATTACCCGGCTTAAGAAATGCATTCACTGTACTTTAGAACCTCTGTTCTGTGTCTTCCCAACCACATCTTCCACCCTCCCACATACTAGTAACCATTCACTGAATTTTATAATTATTATTCTTTTCTATTTGTTCTTTCTCCATTATATTAGTCATCTCAAGCTGCCATAGCAAAATACTGCAGACTGGGCAGCTTAAGCAATGGAAAATTGTCTCACAATGCTTCATGCTGGAAATCTGAGATCAAATGCCTGTGGGATTGACTCCCAGTAAGGTCTCTCTTCCTGGCTTGTAGATGACCAACCTTTTCACTGTACCCTCAGATGCCAGAGAAAGATTGCCTTCTTTTTAGTCTTAGAAGGCCACAAAAGCTATTCAATTATGACCTCATCCTTACTGATCTCATGTAAACTTAATTACCTCTGAAAGGCTCTATCACGTCATATGGGGGTTAGTGCTTCAACAGGTGAATTTGGGACAATACCATTCTACCCATGTCATGCACACATGCATTATTTACCAAAGTATGTGTTTAATCTCCCAACTTCTTTGCATTTTATATTAATAAAACCAGAAAGCATGTGTTCTGCAACTTTCTTTTTCCCAACAGCATGCTTACAAGAGTTATCCATGTGGATGTGTACAGTTGTTTATTCATTTTCAATGCTATGCAGTGATCAATTGCATGAATATTCCATAATGCATTTTCTTATTGATGGTCATTTGGGTTTCTCCTTCTTAGAGATGGTACTACAAGCATGCCATGCACAAGCCAGTGTTTCTGTAGGGAGTGTATCTTGAGATATAATTAATGAAATGAGGGGATCTTCAAACTTGCTGTTTTCCAGAGTGATATAGATTGTGACAGTATCCTTACTGTTTCCTTCCCTGTAGCCTCATCCCCTGACATGTAACTTTGGGTCCCCAACAAGAGTCGGTCGTCCTTCCTTTGAACCTGGTGCAGTGTTGTGCTTCATTCAGAATGCAGCAGAAGTGCATTCAGGTTAAGCACTGGCACCCATGGGAACCAGAAATCATCCAAACCAAAGCCACTGGATTAGTTTCTTTCTGCCGTAACAAATCACCAAATCCTGAATGTTTTAAAATGAGAAAAAATATATTATCATATAGTTCTGATGATCAGAAGTAAAAAATGGGTCTTACTGAGTCAAAAATAAAAGGGTTAGTAGGGTTCCTTCTGATCCTGCAGGGAAGATCTGTTTCCTTGGTTTTCCCAGTTTGTGTAGGCTTCTGGGCTGCTGGCTCCTCTCCGTCTTCAAAGCCAGCAGTGCTGCATTTTCCCGCCTCTCCCTGGCTCTGACTTCCATTGTCATCACATTTCCCTCTCTTCACCCCTGCCTCCTTTCCATGCTTTGGGCCCACGCAGATGAGCCAGTACAACTCTTCCTTACAGAATCCTGTCCTGGAGTCTTTACTTAACCTTTTTACAAGGCACAGTCATAGCAAACTGACATATACTGAGGCTCGTTTTTTAATTTCTTAATTTTAGATCCAGTTCTTTTGTCTTGAGCCTTTTTTTCTTTTTGGATAAAGGCATATATGAATATATATATATAAATTAATAATTAATAAGCCACATTTCCTCTAAATTCTGCTGGCTGCAAATCATACGTTTTGATACATAAACACTTTTATTAAGATTTATTTGTAAATATTTTTAGATTTCCATTATTAGTCTTTGATCTGTGAATTGTATGTTTTTAAACTTCCAAGAGTCTTTTATTTAATTATTTTTGTTATTTATTTCTAACAATTACATTGGTCTCAGATAATGTGGTCTGCATAGGAGTCAACTCTTGGAGATTATTTAGACTTCCTTGATGGTAGCATGTTGTCAATTTTCTTAATAATTCCAGGTAGGTTTAAATATACCAATTGTCAAGTTCCATATTTTGTATTTGTCTACTAGGTAAAGCCTGTTAACTGTGTTATTTAAAACTTTATATTCTTATTTATTTTGCCTGTTTGATCTATCAATTAGAGATGGGGGAGTCTTAAAACTCTTCTCTGGAAGAATTGTTTGTTAATTTCTCCGCAAAATTGTGCCAATTCTTGCTTTATAAACTTTTTTATTTTTGATCAACTGGACCTTATATTATTGTGTGGTTGATCTCTTTTGCTTCAAAGTTTATTTTTCTCTCCTATTAGCTTTCATCTAGTGAATGTTTGTTTTCTAAATCTTTTTCTAACTTCCAACCAATCTTGGTCATTTGTTTAGGGTAATCTCTTATAAATGACACATGTTTAATTTAAAAGAAAACTGATAGCATTTGTCTTCTCACTATCAAGTTTTAGTTCATTTAAATTTGTCATTTGGACTCAATCATATTATTATTTTATAGTTTCTCCTTGTCCTGACTTTTCTATACATTTTTTCTTTTTTGCCCTCTTTTAGATGATTTTTTTTCCTCATATTCATTTCATTTGCTCCTTAGATTAGTTTTCCTGCTTCTGTCTCATCTGTTTATGGTTACCACAGACATTTTAACATACACACTTAATGATCTTGCATCACTATTTCTACCTCCTCCAGGAGATGGCTGGGACCTAGAGTGTTCAGGTCGTTATAGCCCTCCAATGCTTCTACACAGCCAACTCAACAATAGCTGTTCAGACTCTTGCACACACTTTCCAGGGTTTTTCTATTTCTTTGTAAATCTCAAACATTTTATCTGGAATAATTTTCCTTCTACCAGAAATGCATCCTTTAAAGTTCAATGAATGAGTAATGTTAGGAATATTGCCATTCAGCTTTTGTGTTCAATTATGGTCTATATTTTGCACATTGAAAAGATGGCTTTCTGTATATAAAGTACTAGGTCAACAGTTATTTTCTCTTAGCACAATGATAATATTTTTCCAGTTGCTTCAGGCTTCCACTCTTTGGGGAAGTTGGCTGTCATTATATGTCCCCTTATCTTTTTGTTTTTGCTGTTTGTTTCTTGAGGCAGGGTCTTGCTGTGTAGCCCAGACTGGACTCATACTCATGATCCTCCCTGCCTCAGTCTCCCAATGCTGGAATTCACTTATCTTTTATCTCTGTCTGCTTTGATTATCTTGTGTTTGTACATGGTTTCCTGCAGCTTCACACAATGTGCCTTGGTGGATTTTTTTTTGTCATTTATCTTGTTTGTAACTCATCGGAATTCTTAGATCTGAGTTTTGATGCCTTTCAACAATTGTGAAAAATGATCAACTGTTATTTCTTCCACATTTGCCCTTCCACATTTTCTTTATTATTGGCCTTTGTCTTTCTGAGCCTGGCTTACTTCACATATTCTCAAATTAAATGTGGGTTGGTTTTTCCATTCTCTTATATTACTTATCTCTTATCCCTCTGCCTACATTTTCATTACTTTAATTGACTCTATGTCCCAGTTTGCAAATTCTCTCTCCAGTTGTATCTAATAATGCTGCTTAACCTGTATTAAGTCCAATCCATATTTTATAACTCTAATTATCATGATTTTTATTCCTAGAAGTTCTATTCGAATCTTTTCAAATCTGCTAGATTACTTTCAAAACTGTGCTGCTTCCTGCTCGTGTTTTAGTGGCCCTTTTTCACGTCCTAAGCATGTTGAGCGTTTTTATGTTAACTTAGCTTCTGAGATCCAGGGAGTTGCAGTATGATGTCACAGTCTTACTGTTTCTTCTTGCTTGCTCATCCACTGTGCCTTATTTTCTGGTGTGGCTCGTGAATTTTGACCACATACAACTCCTTTCTTGGAGGTTCTTTTACCTGAGCTGAAGCTGAGGTCCTCCAGGAGAACCATACCAATCACAGAGAGGGTTTTTCAACAACTAAAATAGTTTGAAATCTCACTCTGACCCTGTCTGAAGGGTGACTTCTACTTAAGAATCCTCAAGGTAATTTCTTCCTCTGCCCGGAACCAGTGTCAGGGCAGGCAAGTTTCCTTGCTACTGCTGTCTGTGGGGCCTACTGTCACCTGTCTTTATTCTGAAAGCATCATCTTTGGGGGTGCCAGCTTTATAAAAGTATTCCTGAAGTGAGTCCTAGGCTCTCTCTTCTCCCTCCCTTGTCTTGAGCAGCTGCCCAGGTGAAGGCCTACATCCAAGGAATCAGCAGATCCACTAGTGTACCACTCAGACTCCAGCTTTCCTAACACTGTGGGTTTGGCTCCTATGCATTGGTCAGTGCAATGCTTTATTTGTGGCCATGGAGGATGTGGAGAGAGCTATGGGAGGACCCAGATCAAGGCCTCACCCACTTAGACCAGAGTTCAGTTGAATTGCCTTTACTTGCAATTTCATTTTCAAGTACCATTTTGTAGTCAGTAGAAGAAGAGAACACTCTCTATTTACCTGTTGAAATGCTAAAAGCCATTACTCAGTCCAGGTCCTCCTAAAGGTCTGTGGATGATGCATCCAACATAGAACCTTTAACCTCAGCCTGCCAGATCGTGGACTCGGTAGCTCTGGGAAATGGTGTAGATAGCTCCATGCCTCCTGGGGGAGAAGTGGCCCCGGACCACCCCCAGCAGCTGGCGGTAGCGGAGCATGTACAGGTATGGGAGCATGGCACGAGGAAGCATCATGAGCACCTCGCTGTTGGCTGCCAGGAGCCACATATGAGTGCTGGCATCAATGTGGTGGTACTTGGTCAGCATGACGTCCAGGGAGAATAGCACTCCTGTACTTACATAGAGTGTGATCAGCACCACGTGGATAAGCAGGGTGCCCCTGGCCCGGGAATAGCCCTGTGCGCAGCTGCCTGAGGACCTGGCCTCTGCGTAGATCCTCCAGAAGCAGTAGGTGACGACAGCTGCACAGACAAAGAGAATACACAAGAGGAAGGTGTGGATGACAACAACCAGGGGCCCATGACTCTTCTCCGTGCCCAGGCCCAGTGGCAGGATACACAAGGACCCCTGTCCTTCCAGCCTGGCATCCTGCTGTTTGCCAATCCAGAGCAGAAAGTTGGGAAAAAAACAGGCCACCAGCCAGATGAGGGCCACTGTCTTCCGGGCAGCCCTGCCAGATATGAAGGAGAGGTAGCGCAGAGGATGAGTGACTGCCAGGTAAGTGTGCAGCACGGTGGCTGTGAAGGACAGGATGGTGCTGGTGCAGGCAGTGAAGACAGCATCCCTAAGAATGCCACAGGTGATGCGGCCCAGCTCCCAGCCTCCCAGACTGCTAGAGGAGATGAGTGTGTGGAAGAGGATGTAGGCAAGATCCGACAGCAAGATGTTGGCCAGCAGCAGGTAGTGGGGCTGATGCCGCAGCCTCTGGCTCCTCAGGATGGCCACTAGCAGCAGGGGGTTCAGGGCTAGTGTGGCCGCAGTCAGCACACTGGAGGGAAGCAAGAGCCAGCGCAGCATGGTAGTAGACACCCTAGGGTCTCTGAGGCCCTGGGAAGCATTGCTGACTGCTTGGGTCGTGCAGAGTGTCTCGCCAAGGGTCTGGACTGGAGCTGTCCACGTGGTAGTGCCCAGGGGACAGGGTGTCAGCTCGCTCCCCATGCTTCCTGGCTGGTATAGCCAGCTGTGTTGCAGGATGTTGATCTGTCCCGAGGGATTCATGATGGTGTCCTCTGCAGAGATGCTGGTCTGGGTGGATTTTACAAATGACTGTTTCACAAAGATAAAAACCACAGTTTACAGTTTAGCTCACACGGGGCGCCTATTGTCATGCACTTCTCTGCATCCATGTACTAGGTCAGCCCTTCACACAGGTGGCGGGGTGGGAGAACTTGGCGGGGAGGGATGTGGAAACCTGTCTGGTCGGCTTGCAGGCACTGTGTGATGAATGCTCATTACACTGGATTGGAAGCAGAGCTGCCCTGCCAGAAGGAAAGGAGCAGCCACTCCGTCTATGCCTTGTCTCTGACCTGCTGGGGATTCAGGAAGTGGAGAAACCTGAGTACATTCACATTCTTTCTCAAAGACCCCTGGGTGCCTTGTATGTATATATGTGTGAGGGGGGTGTATGCATGTGCACATGTGTGTCTCCCACATCCCTTCCACACAGGGTTCCCTGTGGGAACACTTTTGCTACAAAGTCTCAGCTGACTTCTGTGGATTTTCTATGTGGTGAGAGTTTCTCTGCCACTTGGGAGGACGCCTGGCAGGCAGGACCTCACAGGAGTTGGTGGGGAGGAGCAGGTCAGTGGTGGCAGGGTCCTGGGCAGAGAGACAAATCAAGTTGGATAATTTTGACAGTGGGGTGCACTCCATGGCAGGGTAGGTGGCAAGGTGTTCTCCAGCTCAAGTGATCAGACTGTGGGGCCTTGAGAAGTTTGCTCACCCCTCTATGTGGGTTTCTGTATCTGTGAAATATAAATGCTGTCAATTCTGACCTCATAGAAGCCTTGCAAAAATCTGGAGGTATTTTTATTAGTATATTTTTCAGCTAACGCATGGTAATTATATATATTTATGGGGTATATAGTATGGCATTTTAATACATGAATACAATGTGTAATGATCAGATTAGAGCACTTGGCATATACATCACCTCAAACATTTATCATTTCTTTGTGTTGGGGACACTCAAACCCACCCACCCCCGCCCCCCCCACCTCCACAGGCTGACCCCTCTGTGCTATAGTAGTCACATGGGAAACTTCTGAGAACAAGCAGCATGTTGTTAGGATCCTCAGGAAACAGGAGTTTCAGACCCTGGGTGGTGAGAGGCTCTACCACGAAACACAAATACTGCCTGGATCAGATCTGGGGTGATGTCTGCCCAGTCCACCCGGCCATGGGCCCTTGGACCATGTGAGGTGCCCACCTCCTGCCTGCCTGCTTTCTCAGTGAGTTGTGACATCCTCTTCTAGATTTCAGAGGAAATCTGGCTCTAATGCTAGTCCTTAACTGTGTGGTCTTGACCAATTACTTAGCCCTCTGGGCCTCTGGACCCCACCAAGCCTTCATGATAGCTATGAGCCTGTTTTAGAGGGCTGTAATGTGTTACCCGCAGGAGCTGACGCTCACCGCCAGTCGGCCTCTTCCCTAAACAGGCTCCATAGACTGTTTGTGCTCTCAGACTTCTGGACCACAGTGGGGATGAGAGGCGCAGAGAAAGCTGAGCTTCTCAGGTGGCTCAGTTCACACACTGGGGAACACAGGGAGTTTGACCTGAGACTCTTCTCACCCACGAGGCCTATTCTCCAATGAGCATTGCCTTCTCTTTGGAGCCCCTACTCCCTTGGGAGGTCCCCTTGTCAACCCAGCCCTCGGACCACGCCCACTGCAGCCTGCAACCCTCAAGGTCTGTGGTCTGTTATAGCATTGGCCAGAATACAATGCCTATGCCCTGGTGGTGGGTTATGGTAAAGACGTTGAGGAGGGGCTAAGAGAGCACAAATCCCTCTCCAGGGTGGACCCTGCCTTCCCACCCCTCTGCCTGGACCTGCATTCACTAGGGTGTCTCCTAGCACTTCTGTGGATTCATTTATGCATCTGCCTTCCCCCCAGGCCCTGAAAGTGGGCAGAGCCCTCTGGAGTCTGCATTGCCAAGGTCTGGTACAACCCCAGTCTTTTATTTATTTATTTATTTATTTGTTTGTTTATTTATTTATTTGGTGGAACGGGGGTTTGAACTCAGGATCTCATACTTGCTAGGCAGGCACTCCAACCACTGTCTTTGAATGCAGATTTCCTGGGAGAGGGAATGCTAAATCCTTCTGATAGTTAGTGCCAGGGGTGACAAACAAAGCTCCTAGGGACTGAAAGAGCTTGGTTCTCCTGACTGAGCTGTGAGGTGTAATAAGGAGCCTGCCTTCCGCTGAGAATCATTTTATGACCGATAAGGTACATACAATCTCCTGCTCCGTGAGGGAGCTGCTGGAGGAAACACCAGTTTGGTCTCACAGTGAGCCTGCTCAGGCTACCCTTCCTTCTGAACTGCAGAGTGGCACAGATATGGGGTCACCCAGTGCCAGCCAGGAGTGGACAGGCTGAATGTGCTCTTGGGTAACAAAGGTGGAGGGTCAGGGTGGCACTGTCTCTCTCTAGCTGGGGTTCCTCAGCTTTAAACTGCTCTGCCCCTGTCCTGCACTCACCCCCCAGTCAAGACAGCACTGCCAGCACTGTGGGTGCTAAAGGAGGCCATGTATGTGCTGACACAAGGTGCGTACACAGCGCAGGCTAGTGACTCTGAACGTCCCTTTGGAAATCCAGTCTCCATCATTTATGGTCCCTCCGTATCTGAGGCTGTTGCCCTCCAGGAAGCGATTGTAAATAGTTTCAAATTGCAGAAAGGACAAAGCCTTGAGTCTATCCCCACTCCAGGTGGGGTAATAATAACTAGGAACACCTACTGCATGCAGGCACTGGGCTCATTATCTCACCAGACGTCTACATTGCTCTGTGAAGTGGGCACCGTGGGTGGCAGGTGGGAGGCCTGAGGAGGTTAAGTGCCTTATGTAAGGCCAAGTTTCAAGAGGATTCAGGGTTTGCAAGAAACCATCTTTCCTGAACACGTAGAGTCCCTGTTGCTGCATCTCCCAGACTGGCTGCAAGACAGGAGCTACTTACTGTGGCATCAGAAAACGGTCTCCGGTCAGAGCAGACAGCAGGCCATGGCCAGATGGCTGAGGTGGCCCCAGGAGGACCCCCATAGGTAACCAGCAGCCAGGACTAACAGGTTTGCAAGTATGATCTAAACAGGGGCTCTTGGTCTCCTGGCAGCAATACAATGTCCCTCAGCAACTAGTCCTGTCACCTGACCAGACTACCAGTGTGAGACAGGGAGGAAATCTCCACCCCTTGCCCTCATCGCTACACATCTGGGTGTGTGCAGGAGCAAAGCTCGGAACGAATCTGGCAGTCCTGGGTAACAAGCACTTTCACGTGATCATTTCATCCTCAGGAGCCCCGCTGAGGATGAGGAAATTGAGGTGTGCATGGGGTTAATTAATTTTCTCAAGCTCCCCTAGCAAATGAGTGGCAGATGGGGCTGAGTAGCAGGAAGTTAGGGCATTGAGGGTGTGCACTTGGAGGAAATATTGGGATCCAGCCCCTTCTCCTCTCTTTGTTTCTTTACTACTGTGAGATAACAAGACCTATCTATCACACATTCCTGCCACCATGTGCTATGCCCCTAGGTCTCAAGGCAAGAGGACCAAGTGACCATAAATGGAAACCTCCAAAACTGAGGCAAAACAAACCTTTTTAAATTAGCATATAACAGTTTTGGGGGGGATACATTGTGAAATTTACAAATGTACTTTCAATACTTCTTAGTTAAATTTACTCCCTTCATCATTCTCCCTTCTCCTCCTTCCCCCTCTTCTTCGAACAATTCCAAGAGGTTTCATAAGCCTTTTACCTTGTTGTTACTTCGGGTATTTTGTCACAGTGATGGAAAGCTGGTTGACACAAAGATCTTCATTCTGATTCACAAGACTCAGTGTACCTGTTCTCATCTCTCCTTTCCTACCTCCCTCATCTCTTTAGTCCTCTGTGCTCCACCTCCCTCACCACTTTTATACCCCTAAGGGATGTACCATGCATGTGCCCTGGAGCAATGCCACCCTCTTTGCATACCTCACTACTGCTCATTTAGATCTCAGTTTGAATGACTTTTCTTCTGGAAAATGTCCAAAAGATATTTGGATGGACATTCGTTTCTGCAGACTCATATATTACCTTTCATTTCTTTTATACCATCTATCACAATTTCTCTTAGTGTCTCTGTATGTGGTTGATGCCTAGCTTTGCTATAAGGATTGGCTATGCAAAGGCAGAGCTGAGTCTGTCCTGCTCACCAGCACATCTCCAAGTGCCTGTCACATAGAGAGGTCAATGCCAGACTGAAGATTAAAAGAGCAGCAAATTTAGACAAGAGCAAAATATGGGGAGGAAATTCGCCATCTGAAAGGCTCAGTTTGAGCAGAGCCAGAGTTGAGAGGGATCTGGTACTGCAATGGTACTGCACATTGCCTAGGGCAGAAGAACTTAACCCAAACTGCAGATCCACAGGACCAATTTCAGTGCCTGCAAGGACAGAACAGGCATCCCAGTGGCCCATAAGCTAGTGGTTTCCTTGAGGCGCTGGTGTGGTCCTCGTATGTGCCAGATGTTGTGAGGAGGGCTATTCCTCCAAAGGCATATCCTGAACCGGTCAGGAGTGACAGATAGGACATGATGCTTTGCCGAACTGACCTTGAGATCCTAGCGATGTTGACTTTTCGAATTAGCAGATTTTCTGTGCATGTCAAAGAATGTTAGAATGTTGGCCTTCTGGCTAAATCCAGTTTTTGTTTTTTTTTTTTTGCACTGAGTAATATTTACTGCTAAAGATAAACTAATTCTAATAGCTCCCATAGCAACCTACTATTCTCTCTCTCTCTCTCTCTTTCTTTCATTTGATCAGTCGATGGTCAAACCTTCCACATACTGAGCTTTGTGAGTTTCAGGCTGGGTCTTGTTGACATCCACATCTCCACACTGCATTTCTTCAGCTGCTAGCTCAGCAGGGTGCCCAGTCAATTTCCAGATGGTTGGTAGCACCTGGA